CCCAAGGCAATGTTTCCAGCTATGCTTCTACACATCGCTGTTAGGTCGCTTTGCCGGGATAATTTCCCCAAGTGTTACCCTGGGAAGCAATCAGTAAACCCCTCCCCCCCCCCCCCCCCCCCCCCCCCCCCCCCCTTTCATCAGAGGAAATTATAACGTTTCCGGCACCGGGGCCGGGGCGGAAGCGATATCCCCCGCAGGTCACCAGAGGTCCGCGGAGAGGAGGTCCCCGGAGGTTCCCAAGAGGCATCCAGAAAGGCCTCCAAAAGCCTCTGAATGCCCGGCCCCCTTGTAGTCCAGAGCCCAGCGACAAGGCACACCTGCCCAGAGTCGCTTCCTGTGATTCTGTGCGTTTCTGTGAGATTCCTCAGAGATTCCTCTGATTCTCCGATTGGCTTCTTTTGAGATTCCTTGCCGTTTCCATTGTGATTATTTTGGGGCTCCTTTGAGACTCCTCTGGTGTTCCTTTGATGTTATTCTGAGGGTCCCTTGAGGCTCCGGTCATATCCCTTTGATGCCCCATCCGGGGCCGGTGGACTATTTATTTGTAATAAGTGCGCTAACATATCGCGGGGGGGTTCGCGAAATGCGTCTGCGAAATCTCTCCGTGGACTCTCCCATAGGATCCCCTGAAAGAATCAATATGTGATTATTTTGGGACTCCTTTGAGACTCCTCTGGTGTTCCTTTGATGTTATTCTGGGGGTCCCTTGAGGCTCCGGTCATATCCCTTTGATGCCCCATTGCTCAAGAGAGCATCACATCGACATCCGGGGCCGGTGGATTATTTTATTTGTAATAAATGTGCTAACATATCGCGGGGGGGTTCGCGGAATGCGTCTGCGAAATCTCTCCGTGGACTCTCCCATAGGATCCCCTGAAAGAATCAATTTCCCTAGTGCGGTCGCAATAGGGATTGCTTATGTCCACGCGAGCCCGCGTTTTCCAAATTCCTTAGATTCCTTTGTGGTTCGTTTGAGCTGCCGCTGAGATGCCTTTGACATTTCTGTTGGGCTCCTTTGAGATTGCTTTGAACTTCCATTGGTTCCTTCGATATCATGCGTGCGATTCCTTGTGATATTATTATGGGATTCCTTTGGGGGTTCTTTCAAGTTCCTCTGATATTCCTTCGACAATCCCTGAAGGGAGCATCACATCGACCTCCGGTGCCTGTGGATTATTTTATTTTCAATAAATGTGCTAACATATCGCGGGGGGGGTTCGCGGAATCCGTCTGCGATATCCCTCCGTGGACTCTCCCATAGGACCCCGTGAAAAAAACAATTTCCCTATTGCGGCCGCAATAGGGTTTGCTTATGTCCACGCGAGCCCGCGTTTTCCAGATTCCTTAGATTCCTTCGTGGTTCGTTTGAGCTGCCGCTGAGATCCCTTTGCGATTTCTGTGGGGTTCCTTTGAGATTACTTTGAATTTCCAATAGGGATCCTTTGAGATTATGCGTGGGCTTCCTTTTGAGATTCCTCTGGGATTCCTTTGGGGGGCCCTTTCAAGTATAGTTGCTTGCGGTGATTTCTTTGTTTGTCATTTTTGATTTACCTTTGATTTCCGATGCGCGTCAGTTTCCCAGTGTTCTAGCAAGGCGGGAATGCATTGGCAAGCGTTCGTGCAGGTTGGTTCTTCAGGCTGTCGCCTCGCGCTGCCGCCAGCATCGGGCCCGGGGGGGCAAATTAATCAATTACTTGTTTTATGTATGTTTTATGTGCTAACGATATCGCCGGAGGGCGCCGCCCAAAATAATTATTTATTTTATTTTCTGTGCTAGCGATATCGCCGGGGGGGTACTGTTTGCTTGCCAGGGTTTGGCTTGGGGCGTTTTGAATTTTTTTTCGGCTTTAAAATGTTCCCAGGTTTGGGCGCGAAGGTGCATTTCATTTTATTCTGAGGGGTTAGACTTGCCGACTGATTTGGGCCGGTTTTCTCGGTGGACCTCCTGCGCGAGAATTGCCGATTGTAGCCCCGGGGGCCGAACTATGAAAGTCGGAGTTACGGGGGGGTGGCCCGGGAAAAGCCAGGGCTGCCGGCGGCGATTTTGCGCCGACGCAGCGATATTAACTTGCGCGGTTCGCCGAAATCCAGCATTCGACCCGGCTTCTCACTCGCGATCCTGGAGCGGGGCTAATCTTCAATGGGCTCTCCATGCAGATGCAGAGTCGGAACGCTGGCCCCGAGCGAGAAACGTCGGAACAATGCGCGCGAAACCATCGCGAATCCGCGGGGGCAGCGCGGCGGGCGACGCGCCGGCGGAGGCGCGGCCACATGGCGCCGCTGGGCGATGCGCTCCGCCGCGGGGGGGGGCCAGCAGCAGCGGCCGACCCGGGCGCCCAGGCGCTGCGGGGCGGGAAGCCATGGGGGGCCACTGGAGGACGCGCGGGAACAGCTGCAGCCATTTGGCGCCCAGCAACGACGGCCGAAGCCCGCGCCCGCGCGGCTGCTCGCGAGCGCCCGCAAGCGCTAGGGCGCGGGTGCTCTCAGGCGCACGAGCGCGCTCAGAGGCGCTCCCGGACGGCGCTCGCAGGAGCGCGACGCCGCTCGCCGGCGCGGAGGCGTCGCCGGGCGGCCGCATGCGATCGCGCGCGCCTGGTGGAAGGACCGCAGGCACTGCCCGCGCCCACTGGCGGACGCAATAGCCCGCAGAAGCTCGCGGGCGGCCGTGGCCATCGCCGCCCGCTGCCCTCGCGGCCTCATGCGCGCGCGCGGCCCGAGAGCGGGTCGCAACAGAGCCGATGCCGACGCGAATCCGCGAGATTCCCACAGACTCCGCCACGAACCCTCGTTTGAAACGCTGCAAGATCCACGGGAATCCGCCGTGCAGCCCTTCCAAGAAATCCAACCAAATTCGCGAGAATCTGAGCGCATCCGCGAGCATCACCGGGCGAGTTCTTGAGCCCTGGACCCTAGGGGGAACCTCCAGGGGCCTCGAGGACGTCCAGGAAAACGCTGGGGAGACCTCCTGGGGGAGGGCTCCGGGGGCCTCTGGACGGCGTCGTCGCTGTCGCCGTCGCCGTCGTCGTCGTCGGCGGCCCCCGAGGATGCCCCCGGGTTCCCCGGGTGCCTCCGTGGACCTCCCGGGCCCCCGACGCCCTCGGGAACCATGCCGGGGAAACCCCGAGGAGGCCTCGGGACGTCGTCGGCGTCGTCGCCATCGTCGCCCTGGGCGCCGCGAGCGACTGGCCCCCCCTCCCCGCGCGGGCGCAATCGTGGAGGCAACGCGATGACCCCCGTCCGAGAGGGCCCCCTGGGCGACGCGGGGCGCGCGCGGATGCGCGCCTGTTGTCCGGCAGGGCACGCGGACGCACGCGCGCGCGCACTCGCCGCATAGGCGCGCATCTACAGATATGGATGATGATGACGGCGGCGACGACGATGGCGATGAAGATGATGGCGAGGACGACGATGATGACGATGGCGCCCGCATGGTAAACTGTTCGGTTTCACGTTCCACGCGCGGGATCGCACGCGCGCAAGGCGCGCGCGCGCGCTCGCGCCAGAGACGCGCAAGGAAACAAAACGGCTAAGCTTCAATGCCCGATTGCCGGGCCTCGCGCCGACGGCGCGCCCGCGGGCAAGCGTTTCCGAAGCCTACATCTTGAAGGCCCGCCCCCCCCTTTGCATGTCTGACCCTTATGGGCCGAACATCGCAGGGCCGCGGCCCTGCCCCTCGTTCCTGCCGCACCCCCCCTCCTCTTGCTCTTCGCCCCTCCTCCTTCTTGTTCAGACTGGGCCGTCGCTCGCGCGGGCGGGGCCGGGCCCGGGCCGAACCGGCCGAAACCCGAACCGGCGTCTAACAGAGCCGGCCAGGCAAGGCCAGATCAGCTGCAGACCCGGACCGAACCGAACCGAGCCGATCCCTTCATGCCATCATCTTATCCGCATCGCTTCCTTGCTGCTCTGTTGTGCAACTTGCGCGCTTGACTCAATGCTGATCCGCGCTGTTGCGACGTCGAGAAGCGGGCGACGGTTCCTAGCCCGCCGAGGCCCCCCCGCGGTTCAACCGCAGATGGCCGTCCTGCCCGGCATTCAAGGTTGCTCTGCAACCGAGCGAAGCAGCTCGCTGGGCAGATCGGCGGCGAGGCCGGCGCGCGCTGCGCGCCCCCGCTCCCCGGAGACCACCGGGGCAGGGCGGCCGCGCCCGGAACCCTGCCGGGCGCCCTTCAGCGCGCGGGCCCCCACGCCCAGCAGCGGCGCAGGCGAAGGCAGCATTGCAGGCGGCGGGCTGCCTGCATCCAGCAAGCGCTGTTCGGCAACCAGGGGCGCGCAGATCACTCTAAAGAGTGGACTCACAACAAGAAAAATCTGAATTACTGAACCATCGGCGCGAGAGGCGAGCGAGCTTCTCGCCTCGCAAGAAGCCGCCGTTGGCAGGCCAACAGCAGGCCTTCCACACTAGAGCAGATAACAGCTCGTCGCCAAGCGTGCTAAGCCAAAGCGTGGAAGCAGCTCCACCGCGCTCTCCAAGTGCTAGGAACGCGCAAACGTGACAAATTAACGTCGCCTGAAACAAGGCAGCCCAATGAACGCCAGGGACCGCGGGAACCCGACCCCGGAAAACCAGGCTGCGCAAACAAAATTCGCCGCCTGCGCGTCTGCCTGGGCGCGCGCGCGCTGGCCAACTTCGCGGCCTGCATGCCTGCGCGTTTCCGCGCTGCCGCCCTTGCGACGTCTGCCGCGCGCTGCGACGGCCGCGACGAGCAGGCGCAGGTGCTCGGATAATGCGCCTCAAGATTTAACGTGAAGCAAAAAGGCGCGCCTCGGCGCGCGCGCGCGTTGCCGCGCCGATTGGTTTCAGAGCGCCGCTCACTTGCGTGGCCCTGTCGCAAGGCCCCTCTCAGAACTGGCGCAGTAAGGAGCTCGCACTCGCCCACTGCGCCCCGCGAGCAAAATTAGATTGCGCGCGAAGCACGATTGGCCTGCAACGACTGACGGCGGACACCATGACATAACCCAATGGGGTCCGTAGCCTGTGTGATGCGCGCGCAAAGACCTCAAACGAAATGCACTTGGACCTTTTGGCTCGGCGGCGCAGTCGTAATATCCCAACAAGTAAACGCAGCAGTGTAATCCGCCGGCCCCCTTGTGGGGCCACCAGGCTGTAGGCCCGTGATTCGCAGTTTCCTGTACCAGTCGTAGTTTGTCGTTTCCAATGTTACAGTTCTGCTTCTTGCTGGTTACTGTAACTAGTTGATTGACCGCGCGAGGGGAGGGAGGCCCAAACCCAGCGAACATCCGAATCGGGGAGGGGAGACGACGGCGATCTGCGACGTCGGCTTGCGGAGCTCATGCAAGGGCGTCGCGTCACCGCGTCTGCGAGGGGCGCTTCAAGACGCCGTTCACGTTAGCATAATATGCAAGCGCGGCCGTCGTGGGCAACGTTGCGCATGAATGACGCGGAGCGTGTTGTTCGATTGCACCGCGCTGACGACGCTGGAGGCTGCGACGGTAGATGTCAATGCGGGCCAAGTCTGCGCCCCGCCCGGCGAGGTGCACTGCGCGGGTCGAAAAATCAAATCGCCGGCACGGCGTCTAACGCAGTCGCGCGCGCCGCGCAATCAATGACGTTGGCGGTCTTGTTCTGGGCACTTGGTGTTGCGAGTCGCGCGTGCAGTGGTGGCAATAAACGCGTAGGTGGCAGTAATGGCGCCCCGCAAGTAGTCGCGTTGCGCGTCTGGCAATCGCGTTGATCGGTGAACGTACTGCGTTGACGGCAGTGCTGTCGCTCCCGTCGGTGGCCGCGTAGCTGGTCTCAGTGCTGGCGTTGCATGTATTCGCGATGCTAGTGGCAAAAGTCGCGGCGATGGTATGCGCTGATTCGCACAATGACGCTGGTCCTGAACATGAATGAGCACATGGCTTCGCTTGCTGCAAAGGCCATCCGAACTGACCCAGCCCACACACGGCAAACCGCACCAATCTAGCGCACGCCAGTTGCCAGGCTGTTCTGGCCCAGCCAACCCCGAGGAGGACCAGAGATAATCCCAAGGCGCCGCGCATTGCATTCGCAGCTTGAAGAGCAAATTTTCACCGACGAATGTTGGCTCGCTTGCGGATGTGATCGCCTCGCGTTCTCCGGTGAATTCTGGCGTGCGCTTCCGCGCAATGCGATATCGCGCTCTTGCGGACTATTGTAAACCAACTTGCTGCCCAGCTCGTTGAACCTGCGCCTGGGCGCAGTGCGCTGCTCATTGGCGCCGCGCTTTGCACCGTATTTGCTGGTGCTAAGCAACGTCGGCGGCGAATCCGCCACTGGTAGATGCGGCTCGATTCCTGTATATCCCGCGAGCACTGCTGCTTGAGAGCTCTGAACTCCTGGAGTAAGAATACAGAGACGTGGTAGTCGGGAGTCCACGCCCTCCTCTCTCCTGGGCGCCATCTGCACGCTGACTGAAGATGGCGCCGCGCCCAACCGTCCGCCGTCGCACTGGGGCGGCCCTTTGTCGCAGCAGTTGCATCGACGCATCTCGCGCCAGCTGTCAGCAGACGTGACTGAGCCTTGTGTCGCGGCCGCTGTCGCGGGGCGCTTCGCCGCGCTGGCAAGCGCGCCTGAGCCTCTTGCCCTGGCGCGTGAGCCTCCTGTTTCTGCGCGACGAAAAGAAAACTGAAAATTAGCAAATCGGGGCTTCAGGGTTAAAGCGCAAGTCGTAGCTGGCCGTTTGGCGGCGCTTTATAGCGCTGTAGTCTGGTTCGGTCGTCGGCGACGGGCTCTGGGGCCCGTGCGCGAAGACGCAACAAGTCGCAACGACGCGCAAGTCCGCGTTGATATCCAACCATGCGCGCGCGACGATTGCGACGGCAATGTTGATGCCCGCCGCAATTGGCCAGGCAAAGAAACACCAGTAGACAGGACGACGGTTGCCAGGCACAGCTCGTCAATCGAGGACGGATTGCTTCCAAGGCCGTCGCCTTGCAGCTAAGTGCTGGCGTGCCGCAAGTTCATGTCACCTACTGAACCATTGTGCACCCATGCCGCAGCAGCTTCCGCGACCTGCCAGCTCCCAGGGGCCATGCGCGCTAGCGCCCGAACACCCATCGCGCGTCTCCGCGCGTTGCCTCGGCAATGCGTGAGGTAGTCGAACGCGTCGAACGAACAGTGCAAATCATACGAACCGACAAACAAAAAACTATGTTAATGCTGAGAATACGGCGTCCGCGGGGGCGTCCTGCGCGGCCGTGAATGTAGCAGCAAAGTGTGCAGTAGCGTTGTCCACGGTAGTGTTGCGGCGAATCGCCCCGCCGTAGGCATTGCACTTACATTCCGAGCGCAGGCGCTGCAGGTGGTGGCCAACGAACGGCGTTCTACAACCAGGCCACAGGCGACTTTGCACGCTGTGATAACGGACGCGCCCCCATACTGTAGCAAACTGGGCGCGCCCACCATGAATATACTCGACGTAGCCGCAATTGAAGCAGATCCCAACAAATTACCTCGCGCACAAACGTAGCTGAAACACATCCCAGCTGATTGCCTTGCACACAGGCGATATTGAGACACATGACAGGCGCAGGGCATTCGACCTGTGCCGCGTAAAGAATATCAAACACGGCGAAGGCTAGTGCGTACACCTCGCTTGTTTCCACGATGCACGTCGCAAGCAAACGAAAACGTGCAAATTCTAGCGCCGCAAGCGCAGTTGCATGGTCTGGCATGCTGGATTTAGCAATTGTGTAATTCCCCCATCAGTGCTTGCGCCGAGGGGGTCCTAGCGGAGATTGCCTGATTGAGCGAGAGTGCCGGGCCGATTTCGGTAGGCGCCCAGATTCTCAGGTTGTTGGTTCCGGGCTGCTTGTTCCGATGCCAATACCGATGTCACGATCGATGTTCCTCAATCGATATCACTACCGATATCAGTATGGATTCCCCGTCGATCTCACGATCGATTTCACTATCGATCGAGCCCAATCGATCTCACAATCGATCCCACTATCGGACGCACGATCGATCCCACTATCGGCTTCACTCGATCCCAGTCAATCGATATCACTATCGATCTCTCGAGCGATCTCACCCTCGAGCTCGCTATCGATATCGCAATCGGTCATGCGATCGGTCTCACTCAACCGATCTCACTACCAAAGATACTATCGGTTGCGATATCGATCACACGATTGGTACCACTGGCGGTCTCACTCAACGGATCTAACTGTCGATATCATTCTCGGTATCACTATCGCTAGCATAACATGCCGTAGCATACAGCGGGGCACGGGACACAACCCAACCACGAGACACAACGGGACACCGCGGGACAGCACGGGACACCATCGGGGCACCACAGAGCCAGTGCTGGCCAAACTGGGGGACAGCAATTTTTGACTCGGTTTCGCCCTGGCAGCGGCGGGTTCATTCCTCTCGCCCGCCCACGTAACTTCGCCTCGCCCGCGCGCGCGACTCGAACGTGAATCCGGAACTGAATTCCAGGCGGGGGGTCTCCATGTCACTGCGACTTCGCCCCCTGTCCTGCCATCGATGCATATGTACACATATGTACACATATGTCAACGCATAATCCTATATATATGTGGGCATACATGAGAGAGACAGAGAGAGAGGGAGAGAAACAAAGAGAGAGAGAGATAAGTAAAGAGAGAGAGAGAGAGAGAGAGATATAACAAAACATACATATATATATCTATCTCATAACCAATCAACAAAGACAGAGACGTGACTAAAAGAAAGAGAGGGGCACCAAGTAAACGCGCGCGCATACATGCGCGCATGTATGTACGTGCATACGTATGAATATGTTTACACACACGCGCAGGAATGCATGGGGAGTGAGGCGCCTGCATTTAAGAAGAGAAAAGGAGAGACGGAGAGAGGGGGAGAGAGAGAGAGAGAGAGAGAGAGAGAGAGAGAGAGAGAGAGAGACAAAAAAAGAGAGAGAGAGAGAGAGAGAGAGAGAGAGAGAGAGAGAGAGAGAGAGAGAGAGAGAGAGAGAGAGAGAGAACGAGGGGGGAGAAAGAGAGAGAGAGAGAGAGAGAGATATACACAGAAAGAAATAGAGCGAGAGAGAGAGAGAGAGAGAGAGAGAGAACAACAACACAAAAAAATGAGAGATAGTGAGAGAGAATAACCAGACAAACAGGAGGACAGACAGACAGGCAGGCTGGCAGACAGAGAGAGAGGGAGGAACATTAAATAACTATACCCGGATTCGACTGGCGGGAGGGGGGCCGGCCGAGGCACGCGCGAAACACCTGAAGATCCACTGATTGGGGCTTTCTCTGACAGACTAAAATAAATCCCAGAGTCAGTGATGCCTATGCAGGTCGAGCTTGGAGTGGTGGGAGATGTGGAAGAAAATGGGGTAGTACGAGACGTACTTGTTGGCATGGTCCCTGTCCTTCCATGCATTGGGCCCGTCGGCGGCGGGAGAAACGCGCGTTTGTGCGCGCCGACAAACCGCGGCTCGCTGTTCGGGCACCTCAACGAGGAGGGCCTGCCATAAACCCGTTCTGAAATGAGGATCGGGAGAGGAGGTGTGCATTCGCTCCCCTGCAGCGCGCCCGAGAAGTGGTCAGGGCACCTTCGTCCGTCGCATGGCGGACGCCAATCCTAAGAGGCCATGACAGACACATAGAGGAAGGGGGAGGGGGGGGGGGGGCACGACATCAGCGGGGCTACTTTCAGTGGGTCTGACACAGCCACGCTCGAAAACCTCACCCCCCCGCCTTTGGCCTTCGGATCGCACTCGCCTCCCCGCAACTTCAAAAGCGCGCCCCGGGAGGCCTTTCGGGGCCGACGCGTGAGCGGATGGTTCAAGGAGCGCTCGGACACGCGACCCTCCTCATCCACCAGGGCCATCGTTCCTCGGGACAACAGATCGCACAAAGCAAAGTTGCCGCGCGACGGGCCGGCCTTCGCCAGCGCGTCCGCGGCCATCCGGCCGCGAGGCGCCCGCCCGACCTTGCTTCCGGTCGCGCTCGAACTGTCGCGCGCAACTGCCAACTCGATGGCATTCCCCCCGCCCGCTCTAGAGCCCGCGGAGTTGCGGGAGAGGGCGTCGAAGATCAATGTAGCGTCAACTATTGAGAGAGACGCCGCCCCCTCTGACAGAGTACAGTCTTGGCTCAGCGCAACTGAAAATGGGGGCTGCGACAGGTGCCAGTCGGATTCGAAACATCGTTAATCAAAAAGTCCCTCCACATTATCGATAACCGCTGAGCCCCGGCCAGAGCCGCTGACAGCGACATGATCTCGGCGGCCCCCGTGGACGCCACAACTCGCTTGAGACGGGTCGATCGCCAACTGAGTTACGACACTCGGGCCCTCTTGTTTTGCCTGATCGCAGCATCGGCAGCCAGGGCCATCCAACCCCGTGGGGCGCCATTTCTCCGAGCAGAACCCGGCCCCCCACATCAGACATCGGGGCAGAAGTAACGGCCGAGGGCTCCAAGGGCTAGATCTGCATGCGCTGGCTCGCCGTCCTCTTGAGGTGCCTCACAAGTTTCAAGCATAGCATAGCATCGGCAACTGTCGGCGAAGGAGGGGTTGCGCTCTGGAGGGAAGCCCCCGCCGCCACGTCCGGCCTACTCTATCGACCTAACCATTGGATTTGAGCGATCATCGTCCGATATCGTTTGATATCCCCCTCGTCCAATAGAGCATCTGGTTCGGCTCGACGTTGCTTGGCGAGACTCATCGGGGCGAATTGTTATAGCACGTATTTTCTTGATCAACTCATATCCGGCCCCCCACCTGACGCGCGTGTCTCCCCGCGAAATCGGCTTCCCCGGACTCCAACTTACCGAGTCGAAACCTAGTCTGAAGACGCCCCTTGAGACCTTCCTTCTCCTGCGCGGAAGCGCCGACTATCAAAGCGTCTTCTCCGATAAGAACCGGGGCCCTGGGCCCCACTTGGGGGGATCTCTTGATCCAAAGGCAGGGCCCAGTAATGACTTGGAAAGTCCCTCCTGAGACAGCCACTGCGCAAGCGTGCGGTGCCGGAGCAGAGGCGCATCATTCAATCCGTAGACTGGCGCAACGAGCTCTATCAGCTCGCCCGGGGAGAGACCTAAACCCTGACAGAGTTCGCACAAGAAATAAGCCTTCGGTCGATGAAGCTCGTCGGACTGGCAGACGGCGCTCTTGCAGTCAGCAATCTGCAATTCCCAGCCCAACGAGCAGATCGCCTGAAGAGGTAGCATGGTGCTCTCTGACTGCGGGGGGCAGGGGAGCGCGCGTGAAGTTCCTCATTACCGGGGCCATGATGGCCTTGAACACCCCGAACCCACCCTCTCTTGAGGCTTGAACCCCCTCACCACACGAGACCCCGGAACCCTATCCAGAAGACTTCCCCCAACTAGCGCAGCCTCGACCACCAGAACGACTCGGACCGCCCCGGAATCCAACGTGGCCTTCCATTCCTTGGCGTCGGAAAAAATAAAAAGCTGTCTCTCTGCCTCGGAGAGAGACTTCAGTGAAACTTCGGCCCCCCGGCGCGAAGGAGGCTCGCCCCCCTTCCACTTGCCCTTGGAAGTCGCGAAACTCCCCTCGGCCCCGCGGGTCCAAAACGCCGAACCACAACTATACCATGAGCGCAGCTCCCCCCAGAGATCCCCCTGTTGCTCATCTTCCCCAGGCAATTCAATGCGCCGGGACGGCAGTTCATCATCCTGCTCTCCCGAGGCCTCGCGCCGGGGAGACCTGGAACCCACTCGAGTGGCGGGCCCTGCCCCCCCTCGCCCATCAGCAGGTCGCGACTGACCTAAGCTGTCTGACGCACTCGAGGAGCCCTCTCTCCTGCGAAAACAAAGGGACGCATCGGTCATCAGGCGGGCTCGAATCTCGCGCTCCCTCTCAGAGACAGCTTCCATCACCCTCCCTGGTCCGTCAGGGACCTCCTCCACAGGAGCAAGACGGGGACGCTGAGCAGGAGGAGGCTCACTGGGGCCCGCTCCTCGTCGCACTGCTGGACTCGGCTCGCGCTCAGGACGGTGTCCATCCCAGCGGCTCTTGCCCCCCCTCTAAGTTCAGATTCGCCGATGCTGTCGTGATCCTCGGAACCAACGCCTGGAGACCCACTGCCGCTAGACACAGAGAGCGGATGCACACTGGAAACCTGATCCGGCAGAGGGGCCACTGGCTCCTCTCCTCTGGCGCCCGCGGCTCGGCATTCTCTGGTTTCCTAGCCGGCGCATGGACAGGCGCAGGCGTCGCGGTCTCTTGGCCAGCTGGCTCTTCGAGATCCCGCGCTTCGGGTGGGGGGGGGGGCCCTCGGCCCCCACGCCCGCCGCCCCTATTCCCCGACCCGGATTCAACAGGCCCTGCATCAGTTTCTCGAAGGGGGGGGAATCAGGAAGTTCACCTCCCCGGGGCTCTTCCTTGGTGGCCCACCATATTTGTTCATGTCCACATTTAGGAAGTCGAGATCTCATCGCGACCCAGACGGTGGTGCCTTGCTGAAACACCACCGCCCCTGGGCCCGTCAACCTGCTTCTCTGGCTCCTCGCCGCGCTCTTTCCCCGGTCCTGGGCCCCACCCCCTCGCCGCCAGACGCGCGCCCAAGTCCCGGGGGGGGGCGCTCGGTCTCTGCGATGTCTGGCCTTGCTGGCGGCGGCCAGACGGCCCCGGGCGCCCATGGTCACCATGGCCTTCTCGGCCTGCTCTCTCAAAAGATGTCTTCGAGCGAACGTCGAGACGGGTATGTTCGAATCCGCGGCGCCTCTCACGACATCCCCGATGCCGACGTCATCGATCGCATCGTCCGAGAGAAGCGAACGCAGGGGGCCTCGGGTTCTCTGCGGACACCCGTTGGTGCGGTGAGACCCCACCCCCCGTGGGCGCATCGATTCTTAGCTGAGACAACCACGCAAACTAGCTCCTCGATCTGTTCCGGCGACATGGGCTCGGCACTGAGTGCAGCTCTCGACAGCGCCGCTTTAGCAAATCCCCAGTGCCTCTCGCCATTTCCGTCTTGCCAAAGAGATCCGGCATCGCGCACATGCTGGAATATCCCAAGATGTTCCAATCCGCTGGAAAAGGAACCGTCAAATTCGGAACCTTTGTCGGTGATCATCATTTCTGGAATTCCGAAGGGCCTCGCCCAAAACTTCTGAAAGGCCACCCAGACGCCCCCAGAGGTCGGGCCCTTCAAAAGGGTACAGACTTGCAGATTCGATCCGTGATCTATCATGTTCAGCACTGGGCGAGTCTCTTCCAGAGCCTGAATATAGAAGAGATCAACGGCAACCAGCATGTTGAAACGATATGCCCGAGGAAGATGCGCTCGCCTGCGCCAACCAGGGCGCGAGACTCCACCACAGCTCGGACACTTAAGACATTGCGAGACCCACTGAACCACCTCCTTCTTGGCTCTGCCTACCTTCAGAGCTACGAGACAGTGTTCCCTTCGAGGATGCCCCAGGTTAATATGAAGCTTGCGGATTTCGTCATGCAAAACCTTAGGAGGCGCATGTGGGTCCCGGGACTTGCCTGCCTCCTCTCGAGGACCTCTGGTCTCTCGATCCCCCCCCCTCCGACTCACTTCCTCCCTCCAGAATCTCTGGATCCGCAGTTGGCTCGTCGGCCACTGCGGGAAAGGAGAATCCCCCCAAGCCGGCTCGAGCAGCCTGCTCGACGCCCTCGGCCAGGGCACTCGCCAGGCCGGGGTGGGAACGTTCAGCGGCCGAGGTCCTGGCGCCGCCGGGCACGAGAGAATGAGCATGGTTACCCCGGCAAATCTGACCACAACGCTTTAGAAGAAGGACTGTTAGAAATGAATATAGCCGGCTTCTTCGCCAGTCCGCCGCCCAGAGTTCGAGGCCCGAAAGCGCGCTGGCCCCCCCGAACCTCTGGACCCCCCTGTTGTTTCAAGAGAATTTCGATCGCCGAAAGTTGCCTCGAAAACGCTCTGAGAGGGTTCTCTATCAGACCCCCCCCGCCCCCCCTCGCCACCGGAAACGTGGCGACCTGAACAGCCGACCCCCAAGAGAAGATGCTCTCTTGTTCAGCCTTGTCTCTCCCATGCCCACTTATTCGGTGCCAATTCGGGGCGCCGGCCACGCGCGCACCTCTGCGCGGAGGAGTCATCATCACGAGCTCGGGTCTGTCCGTCTCTAGCACGTTCCACACGCGCGGTCTCTCCCGGGCCTTGCGGAGACCCCATCCTGTCTTATGATCCATGGACCGAGATCGCGGACATCCGCGGCGCCCCATCTCAGGAGCCACCCTGGGGGGAGAGAGAAGAGTTCAAGTAGAAGCGTTCGCCCTTGTCGAAGGAGCCCCTGAGACAGCGTCTGCCTTAGTTTCTTCTTGGGGGCCCTTAATTTCTTCACTCCCTCGCCCTGTAGAGAACTCCGGGCGCCCTCTCGAACTCCCCTGGGAACCGAGGCTGAGAACACATCTAAGGCCTGGTTAAGGAGGGGAGGGGGCGCTCGTCGATGAGAAACCAGCCCTTAGGAGGCGAGTCTGAGGCCCCAGCTGGAGCCCACATTGAGACGCCGACGTCCGAGTTCTGCAAACCCTGCAGCCGGTCAGCTAGATGTAGCGCTGAGGCCCCCGCCCAAAGGGAGTCGATCACCGTGGTAGTGCGCCTGGAGTTGGAGGGAGTGACCCTTAGTCGGCGAATCCCCGAAAAAGGTCCCTTGACTTCTTGGTTTCCCTGGGCCCTCAACGCGAGGTAGGCCATGAAACCCTGGGCCTCTAATGGGCCCAGACGTCTCTCGCTCCACTTTTCTAGAATGCTCCCCGGGCGGGACAGTCTTTCCAGTTCCGAAATCCCACAGCCACGAATCCAAGGTCGAAGACTTCTCTGGATTTGCCCCCGAGAATCCTGAACCCGAAATCGTTTCACTGCCCAAGCCCCTGGATCCGCCCCCATGGGAAGCACGCCTCCGAAGTCCTCCTGAAGCCCCCGAGGCAAATCGGAAACGGCCCAGACTGAGGAATAAGTGATGAACGATGAAAATGCATGAGCACCCGCATTCTTTTGCAATGCACGGGCGGACTCGCTCGGCAGCGATCTGTCGGGGCTCTCGTCGGCGACGGAGCTCCTCTCGGATATGAAAGTGCCCGGGTGACTTCCGGGCTGATCGATCTCGCTCTGGACTGGGGGGTCACCTATTCCTCGTCGTCGAAGATCTCCTCGGCCTCCATCGCGACCTCTGGGAGGCTCTGACTGCTGGTCGCTCCGGACAGATTGCCCCTCAGCATCTCCATCAGCTCTCCGAACTGGGTCCTCGTGGTCTCGAACTCGCGGCGCTGCTCGTGCATCCACTGGGCTATATCGGCCCTGTTGTCCTGTTGGTTCTTCGGGGGTGCCTCGAACTCGGGGCTGCGCCCCGCCCCGTCGAGCTTCCTGGCAGTCGGCGGACTCTTGCGGGCCGCGAGCTGCCTGGGCGGAGGTTTCCCCAGACCCACGGGCGGGGGCTTCCCCGGAATCATCTCTGGAACGAAATTAAACTTCTGCATCAGCGCCGCTGGGCGCCCGGGTCCCTGGCTGGAACGGGACCCCGGAAAGCGTGGAGGTTTCTCGCTCGGCTCGACGCTCTGCTAGTACTCCTGGTTCCGCACCTCGATGGCCAGCCCGAAGTCCTCCTGCTCCTGCTTGGCCCTGATGCACTCGCTCATGGCGGTCTCCTTCTCGTTCTTGATCTGCTGCTTCTCTGACTCCGTCAGCTTGTAGGCGCGCAGGCGAATTCCGCACTTCCGACAGTTGACCTATCGGGCGTGCTGGTTGGCATGGCTCGATCTGGACATCGCTGGGCGGCCACAGTCCTCTTCCTCGACCTTCAGCTCGTTGGCGCCGCCAAGGCTGGGAGCAACACTGGCCAGCAAACGAGACTCTGCGCGCGCCTCTAGCATCGCGAGGGGCGCCAGCGTCCAGCGACGCTAACGATGGGTCATGGGAGTCAGCAGGTAACGGCCCGGCCTGGTTCAGCAGGCCCTGCTCGACCTCGCTGAGCTCGCCCCCAGTGCAGTCCAAGTTCTTGAGACACCCGTTCTCCCATGGGTCGGCTGGAAAGTCCCAGTTCGCCTCGATATTCGAGTCCTCCTCGTCGACCGTCTCCAGCGTCTCTGCCGGAAGGTGGAGCGCTCCTTGCCTCGTGTTGCGCCGTGCCCGGGCCAGCGCTCCAGCGACGCGTCGCTTGTTCCTTCCGAGGGGTGACTGGGGTCGAGCTGCCATCGAGCCCCTCCTGGAATGCCCCCCCAGCACGGCAAGACAGCCGCGAAGAAATCTCGGAGTAGCCCCGACTGATGCAACAAATAAGAGAAGGAGGAAAGCGAGGGAGGGAAGCTGAAGCGCTACTGCCGGCCCGTCCGGGCCGCGGGGGTCCTGCTCCGGCTTCTCAGCGCTCGCCAGGTAGACGTCCGTGTGCCCCCGCCAGTAGTCGGGCATCTGGACCCCCTTCTCCGAGAGACGCCACTCGTCGTCGAAGATATGCTCTACCCAGATGTTGTTCTCATCTCAGAACTGGCAACTCGCGGTGCGCTTCCTGCTCAGCTGGTCGAACGCAGTGGGAAGATCCGAAAGGCTGCCGGGTTTGATCAGCTGCCCCCTCGGCTTCGCGTGGCGAATCCTGATTCTGTCGGGCATGACTTCCCGGAAGTCCTCTCTGTTCCTCGTGATGTGTCTTCGTATCTCCAGAGTCCTCTACTGGACAAGGCCAGGAAAACGCGCCTTCAGGCCCCGATCAAGCACGAACTCGCCACTCGGTTTCCCCGCGAGACAGATCGAGCGGTAACCGGGCGGAAACTTCATCATCGGGGTCCTCGAGGTCTCGTCGTCTCCAAGCTGTGCCGCCTTTTTCCTTCGCGTTGATCGCTGCCCCCAGGAAATCAAGAAAACCGGCCGGGGCGAGAGGGGGGCGCCGGCGCGGCGACACCAATAATCCCAACATGCCGCAACGATGAAACGACGGGGGCATAGCTGCGCGAGCCACGGGGCGAACGCGACCTCCCACCCCGTTCGCGAACGGCAGATCCGACTCGCACTTGACGTGAATGGCATGCCCCTTCTTCTCGAAGGCCGCCGTCGTGTTCCTCAGATCTGGCCCCCCGATTAATGCCTGAGCGGCCGCGGCATCGATGAACCCGCGGTCTTCCATGTTTCTCAGCTGGGCCCCTGACCCCCCCCCCCCCCCCCCCCCCCCCCCCCCCCCCCCCGCCTCGAAACTCGCCTGCTCTAGCAAGGTCGCTCAGCTCTGCAAGGAGGGGCCCCCGAATGCGTCGAACGAGAAGAGGCATCCATCGCTGGAGCTGAACGATGGCTTGGCCTGTCCCGCCGCCCCGGAAGAAGAACCGCCACCCTCCGACCGGATGCGATCAGCCTTGGAGCGATTTGGCTTCTTGCAGTCTTCGCGCCAATGTCCTTTCTCGCCGCAATTCGTGCATCTGGTCCGACGCTTGAGATCTTCCTTGCTGATCCGTCTTTGTCTTTGTACAGTCCCAGAGGCGCGCTTTCTGTCGCAGAACTCCCGGTCGACTTTGAGGGCTGCTTTTAGCTGTCTAGATTCTCGCCGCGCGCTTCTTCTTATCGTCGGCCTATTCTGTAAACGCCAGAACAGCTTCATCTTCATAGACGTCCTGGGATTCAAGACTCGCGAGAAACTCTGCAGTCTCTTCCTCGGAAAACTCGACATCGAAAATACGTGTTGCTTCCTCGCAGTCGGGCCCCCCTGCTGCTCAGTCGCGAAACTTTTGCCCCCGGAGACCTGTTGCCTGGGAAGAGCCGCCCGACCGGGAACGTCGAGCTTCAGTAGAGAGCTCCTCACCAATCGACTCGACATGTCCCTGCCCATCAGGGCCCCGAGGTTCACCTTCATCTGGCCTGTCAACTGCGATCATCCCCCCAGAAACCTCGCAACCAATGGATCCGGGAGGTCCAGGCCCTCAACGTCTGGGCACGAGAAAGCTGGCCATCCCTTCTGACCGCGAATTATGTCAAGGTCTCTCCTTTACGTATCGTATGATCGAACAAAGAGGCGCGATGAACTTCGCGCTCTTGGTCCCCGAGTCATTTTCCGCTCAACAATTTCAGATGATCCATCGGAACCTGGATCCCGGACTCGTCGTCCAATTGCTCTCGGATTCCTCGAAACTTCCCTTGGAGTTCCACTGGATAGGATTCCAACGCCTTCGCCGCCTGGGTCTTTGGGAGGAAGCTGGCCCTCTTGGACCGCGAGCGCAGGTTGGACAGGTGCACTTCTAAATGTTCCACTCCCAGAAACTGAGGGGGAGCAGAGAAGTTGCGGCTCCTCTCCGTAACAGCTTTTACCGCACTCCAACCTAATCTCCAGTCACCTGGCATCCACCACGAGGTACTGCCCCACCAACCTTCCCACCAATGATCACTCCACTCGTACTCGTCTCACTCGTTGGCCGGTCTCTCCTCCTATTCCTGTTGCTCTGTTCCTTCTGTGCCCTCCCCAGGCGTAGACACGAATGTTCCTGGCTCGTCTCCCTGAGCGTCTGCGTCAGCGACTGCGGCCTGCCTCCTTCTCCCTGGACCCAAGCTCCGGCCACCATTGAAATGGGGATCGGGAGAGGAGGCGGGCATTAGTTTATCCCTGCAGCGTGCCCGGAAAGTGGCCAGGACACCTGCGTCTGTCGCATGGCGGACGCCAAGCCTTAACGGCTATGACAGACAGATAGAGGAAGGAGGAGGGGAGGGGCACGACACTAGTTCGTGTAGAACTCGGCTGGTTTGGCCCACGAGGCGCCCAGGCCGCCAACATCTTCGATGTCGGCGTAAGGAAATCGAAACCAGAAGTGTGAATGTTGGGAATGCACCATCGATCAAATTCGCGTGGCCCATGCTGGCCTGGGTGCCGTCTGCCAGCACCCGGCCGTTCCAAATCTACGCGCACTTGACCAATTTCTTCGCGCCCGCGAGGTAAAACATATTCTACCACTTATCGACTGGGAGCTGGCCGCCGGAGCAGCCAGCTCCGCTGCCCAGCCGAATCGAAAGTTGCCCCGCAAGCTCAAATAGCATCGGCGCAGTGTAATCTAGTAGCATATACGGCGTCGTAGACGGTGTAATCCGCCGAACCCGATAATGCCCCCACCCCCGGGACCCCAAACCGAGAATTTGACCATCCCCCCCGGGCCCGGCCCAAACGCGCCATAGGGGGATAGACGGCCCGAAAATGGGCCAGGAGGGCCCCCAAAGGCCCCCTTATCAAAGACGCCCGAGATTGCCTCCAGACGGCTCACGCCGCTCCCAAGACACCCCAAGAGGCCTCCTTAGAGCGCCCCGAGATGCCAAATTCATTGACTTTCCAAAAAAAGCGTTTGACAGTTTTTGGCTTCCTTGTCTTTTCAGCTTTCCGACGCTCCAGGACGGCCCAAGAGGTGTTCAAAACCGCTCCAAGACGGCCCAAGAGGTTTTCAAAACCGCTCCAACACGGCCGAAGAGGTCCAAGGGCACCGACGGGCGGCCCAACAGAGCCCCGGAATGGCCCCAAAGCCGCCCAAGAGGCCCGACGGATGGCCCCAAGGCCGCCCCAAGAGGGGCCCAGGAGGGGGACAACCAGCCGAGGCTGCGAGCCTTCCGCCTCGAGAGGGCCCCAGGAAATCGCAAAGGCCCCCAGGGGGCCCAAGAGAGGACCCAACTGGCTTCAAGAAGGCCCCCCAGAGGCCTCAAAACTGCGTCCAAAAGACTTCCGAGAAGCCCCCCACGAGAGTCCAACCAACGCTTCGTCTTCGTCGTCCTCGTCGTCGACGTCATCGTCGCCGTTGTTGTCGCTGTCGTCGTCGTCGCCGTCGTCGTCCTCGTCGTCGTCGTCGTTGTCGTCTCCTGTTCCGCCCGCATCCAACAGTCGTCTATGTCCTCCTTCTCCCCGTCCCCAACCCTCTTTTTTTCTTTCTCTCTCTCTCTCTCTCTCTCTCTCTCTCTCTCTCTCTCTCTCTCTCTCTCTTTCTCTTCATCCATGATGCCCCCTCTCACCTTTCACACGTAAGCTACAGGGTACTTGAGATTTCATAATAAAAGGGAAGGGGTCTGGACCCTCCAAGATAAGCCATTCCAGACCTCCCCCGTGGGAGAACCCTCCAAAACATCGTCCCCAGATCCCCCAGGCCCTCCAAGATAGCCTGGAAGAGCTTCCCCCCGAAATGAGACCTCCCTCCCTTTATTACGAAATCTGGAGTACCTTGTGGACATTTCTTGGACCATAGATGCGGTACAATCTACGCATGCAATTCACGTTGACCGTCTTGAAACTGTCCTCCCCGCCGCTCGTGCAAACATCCCACCCTCCCACCCGCAACTCGGTCGCAAGACCACTCAAGACAAGACCGTGACGGTAGGTATCAGATGGCACTTGGCCACGACACCGACGACGACAGCGACACAGACGACGACGGCGCCGCCGACACCGACGACGACGACACCGACGACGTCTCCAACGACTTCGACGACGACAGCGACCCCGACGACGACGACACCGACGCCGACGCCGACGACGATGACAACGACGACGACGACGCCGACGACGACGACGCCGACGACGACGACGCCGACGACGAAAAAGACAACGACGACGACGACGACAAAGACGTCGCCAACGACGACGACGACGACAACGACGTCGCCAACGAAGACGACGACGAGGGAGGAGGGAGGACGACGACGGCGACAACGACGACAACGACGACGACGACGACGACGAGGGAGGAGGGAGGACGGCGACGACGCGAACGACGAAGAAGGAGGAAGGACGGCGACGCCGACGACGACAACGACGAGGGAGGAAGGAAGACGACGACGACGACGACGACGACGACGGCGACGACATAGGAAGGACGACGACGAGACGCCGACGACGGACGACGACGACGACGAGGGAGGAGGAATGACGACCACGGCGACAACGACGACGGAAACGACCACGACGCCAACGAGGACGACGACGACGAACACGAGGAAAGACACAGGACGACGTAGGCGACGACGACGACGACGCGGGAGGAGGGAGGACGGCGACGACGACGACGACGACGCAACAGCGCGCGCGCACGTTTTGTTGTTGAAAACCAGTGTTGCGAAACCGTGGGTGTTTGAAGGCTTTTTGGACACACGATTTTGAAATCCGTCCGAAACCGATGGGTTTTGAAGGATTTCGGCATGCGCGCGCGACGACGCGCGCGTCTTCCCTTCGTCCCATTTGTTGCAGAGGATTCTCGCGACGGCACACGCGCAAGGGCGTTCGACGGATTTCGACATGCGCGCGTGAAACCCGTTTCATAGAATTATGTGAAAACGTTGAAAAACCTATGGTTTTCTTAAGATTTCGCAAGACCTCGCGCGGAAACTTTGTTTAGCAAATCAGTGTTGCGAAACCCTATGCTTTGTATGTTGTTTTCCTTGTTTTGTATAGAAAAAAACTCGATTGCGAAAACCTTCCGGCACCGAAGGTGTTGATGGATTTCGGCATGCGCGCGAGACGACGCGCGCGTGCACTTCGTCACATCTGTTGCAAGGGATTCGAGAAAAAATGCTATGTTAGAGCAAGCATGTTGCCGCATAGTGTTTTTTTCCACAAGGAACCTCAGGGGGGATACCGGCTGGCCTGGGACATTGTGGTTTCATTTTTCTTCCAGCGCATATTCTGGGACACTGCGATTTCAAAGTTAGGATGGACATGTGGTCAGAATCGCATATGACTTACATACCCGAAAAGGGTACCGATAACGCCAGTGGGGGAGGGGGGCAGAAAGGAATATTAATCACTTGCCGAACTTGAAGTTGACAACTCCACTGCTCGCGCAATCCTCCCACCCGCCCACCCGCAACTTGGTTTGCAAAACCCATGCGGCGCCGAGCGCAGACATCGCCCCGGGGTCGTCTTGGAGCTGAGCGCCGACGCCGACGACGACGACGACGAAGACGACGACGACGACGTCGGCGACGAAGACGACGACGAGGGAGGAGGGAGGACGACGACGGCGACAACGACGACAACGACGACGACGACGACGGAGGAGGGAGGACGGCGACGACGCGAAAGACGAAGTAGGAGGGAGGACGGCGACGCCGACGACGACAACGACGAGGGAGGAGGGAAGACGACGACGAGACGACGACGACAACGACGACGACGACGGCGACGAAATAGGAGGGACGACGACGAGACGCCGACGACGGACGACGACGACGACGAGGGAGGAGGAGGCAGGGCGACCACGGCGACAACGACGAGGGAAACGACCACGATGCCAAAGAGGACGATGACGAACGCGAGGAGCGACACAGGACGACGTAGGCGACGACGACGACCACGAGGGAGGAGGGAGGACGGCGACGACGGCGACGACGACGACGGCGCCGCCAGAGCGCGCGCGAAATTTGTTGTTGAAAATCCGCGTTGCGAAACCTTGGGTATTTGAAAGTTGTTTTGGCATTTATATATATATATATATAGAGAGAGAGAGAGAGAGAGAGAGAGAGAAAAACAAAAAAACTACAAAAAAAAAAAAAAACAAAAAAAAAAAAAAAAAAAAAAATGCAAGGGGGGCCCAGTGGCAAGGAGGGGAAGGACGGGGGCGAGGGGGGAGGAAGGGGGGAGGGACACGCGCGCGCGCCGCGCGCGCGCTCAGCCGCCCGCCGGGGCCCGCGCAGCCCGCGGCAGGCGGGGGCGTGGCGGCGCCTCCGCCCCAGCGTGTCGCCAGCTGGTGGGTGCCGCAGCAGCCCTGCGGCCGCGCCGTCGCGAGCCGCGCTCACGCTCAGCGCTCGGCGCCAGGCGGCGGCGCTCCCGCGCCGGCCTGCCCCTCGAGGGCGCCCACCAGGGCCCTGCCCACCTCGAGGATGGGCCCCATGGCGGCGGGGTCGCCCGCGATTGCTCGCAGGGCGGTCGCCTGCTCGTGCGCCGCCCCAGCGCCCTCGCCCACGATTGCTCGCAGGGCGGCCGCCTGCTGGCGGAGCGCCGCGGCCCCTTTGCCAGCCTCCGGGCGTTCCTGGGGCTCCAGCCGCTCGCCGGCCCCTGTCGCCGCGCCGCCACCCGGCGGGGGGGGCGGCGGCAGCCAGCCCGCGCCGACGCCGTAGGCGTCAGCGCCTGCGTCGTCTGCTGCGTCCGCCCAGCGCTCGCGCCCGCGCTTCGCGGGGAGCGCCGCCTGCGCCCGCGGCGCGCCCTGCTGCCGCGGCGGGGTCACCACCGCGGTGGGCGCGGCGGGCGGGGCCGAACCGGCCCGGGAGCGGCCCCTCGGCGCGGCCGCTGCCGGGGCAGCGCCGCCTGCGGTGGGCTGCGCGGGCGCCCACCGCAGGCGGGAAACCCTGTGTTTTTGTATGTGTTTTGGAAACTCGATTGCGAAATCCTTCCGGCACCAAAGGTTTTTGAAGGAATCCGGCATGCGCGCGCGACGACGCGCGCGTCTGCACTTCGTCTATTTGTTTGCAAGGGATTCGTGAACAAATGCTATGCTAGAACATAAAATGTCACCGCATAGCGTTTACTTTAACAGGGGAACCTCAGGGGGGATACCGACTGGCCTGGGACATTGTGATTTCATATGTATGATGGACATGTGGTCAGAATCGTATATGATTTACATACCCGAAAAGAGGTACCGATAACGCCGGGGGGGTGGTAGAGTCTATTCTCTTTTCAAAAAAGAGAATCTATGCGGTGCAATCTCTGCGGGGCAGTCTATGTGGCGAGCGGCGCCAGGCGGCGACAGGCAAATTTCGCGGCGACAGGTGGTGACGGCGGCGAACGGCGACGGGCGGCACCGGCGGCGTGGGCAGTCCCGTGACATTCGGGAAACCTCCCGCGCCCGTGATGATTCCCAAAATTCACGGGGGAATTCAACAATGGCCGGGTATGGGACAGAGGACTAATTCAAGGGGCTGGCGGATGTGGCGTAAGCCTATAGAAACCACGTCCGGACGTGACGTGTTGAGCGGCAGCGTTTTCTGCGGAAACGATAATGCAACGTATCCAATGTGTCCAATGATTCAACAATTTCAATGTATCCGGGTCTTACATAATTTATGCATATCACATTATGTTACATTATTATGCAAACCTCCGTAACCCCCTTAACTCTAATGTGCTACCCCACATCCGTCGACCCTGTCTGACCCCTTCCTCCCAAGGCACAAAAACCTTCCGAAACCTATAGGAAATCTGTTATTTCGGCCTGTTCGCCCTCTTGGGGTACCCATGCAGTGGCGGCTTTCGAAGATCGCCCTGCACGGGGATTCCTCGTGCCTGCTCCGGAAACATTTCGAAGAGAAACCAAGAGGCCTCGGCGAGCACCCGCATGTGGGGGGAGTCCAAGTCCCCTCCCCCGCCGATGTACGACCGTTACAATTACCCGCTTGGTGTACGTGTGTGGCCCAGGTGACGACCGTTGTGCGTCAGACGATATCCGCCAGCCCCCTTGCGGGGCCACCAGGCTGCAGGACGAAGTTGCTGCTCCCTGCACCAGTTGCAGTTTCAAGTCTCCAGTGTTACGACCCTGCGTTCTGCTTCCTACTGTAAATTGTTGAAGTCCGCGCGAGGGGGGGCAGCCTCAAACCATCCGGTTACCACGCCCGGTTCGCGCTCTCTGAATTCATGGGGGGGCGTGGGACAAGTAGAACTACGTGAGAGTCGCGTCCCCAAGGCCATACTCCCTTTGTAAGTTATGCAAGAGTCGCGTCTCCGAGGCCACAACCCCCAATAGCATACACAATGCTTGCGTCCCCGAGGCAACAAACCCTCGACAAATTACTCAATGTTCGCATCCCCGAGGCAATCAACCTTCGTACATTACGCAGCACTCGCATCCCAGAAGCCATACACCTTCGCAAATTATACAGTCTTCGCATTGCCGAGGCCAACAGTGTACCCAAACGGCCCAAGAGGGCCTAAAGAGGCCCCAAGAGCGTTCCATGAGGCATCTCGAAAGAGCGCCAAAATGCAAAATTCGTAGATTCTACAAAAGTGCTTGAAGGATGTTGGCTTTCTCGCGTTTTCGGCTTTCCGACGCTCCAAGACGGCTCAAGAGACTTCCAAGACCGCCCCAAGACGCATACAAGAGGGCCCCAAGACGGCCCAAGAAGGCTCCCAAATGGCCCAACACACGCCCAAGACGGCCCAAGAGGGCCCCAAGACGGCCCCAGGAGGGGCCCACGCAGGGGACCACGAATCGAACATTCGATATTTGTGCCCGGAGAAGCCCCCAGGAGACCCCAAGAGGCGCCCAAGAGGCCTCCAGTGTACCCAAAAGATACCCCACGAGGCTCCAAGAGGCCCCCAAGAGACGCCCAAACCGCCTCCAAGAGGCCCCCGAGAGGCTCCCCACGGCACCCCAACACATATACAGGAGGCTTCAGACCCACAACCCAGGCACAGTGTCGGGATGGGCCGAATGCCACTAGGATAACGCCAATGTCTCAATTTGCGCTGATGTTTCCTATCCGCCCCCGCATGATGTTCCCAGATGCGCCAAGGCAGCGCCGAGACGTACCGAAGCGACTCTGATATATCCCATTATGATAGAAAGGGGGCCCGCGGCAGGGGGCTAAGCCCTCACGGATGAAAAGCAATATCAATGGCGGCGCCCGAAGACACAAAAAAGTGGACAAGGAGGAACAAATCGGCGAAGACGGCGGCGGCGACGACCACACAGGGCTGCTGGATGCTGCGCTCTCGCCTGGTCACCTGACTCGGCAGCCCGGCCACGCACACCGCGCACCAGCCGCCGCCCTCCTCCTCCACGACGGGGAGAGGGCCCGCGGCACGGGTCGACGACGACAGCGACGACCACCACGAGAACGACGGCCACCAGCGTCGACGATCCAGGGAAGGCTCCAGGATTGCGAAGGCCTGGCGGCCGGTGCCACCGACCCTGAAGGACGACGACGACGACTACGACGACAGCTTCATGACGGCGAGGGAGGACAGGGAAGGGAAAACTGTTGACTGCTGCTGCTGGCGCTCATGGTCTCTACGCCGCGGCGGGGGGAGAGCGGCACGCGTGCACGACGGCAGCGACGACCACCGCCGCATTCACGCTCTTGGCGGCGAGGGAGGACAGGGAAGGGGATGGAAGGAGCGAAGGAGGACCACGATCTTGTGGCGAGGGAGGAGGGCAAGAGAGGGCGGGCGGGGGAAATTGCTGTTTGCTGCTACGGGCTCATGGCCTCCCGCCGCGACGGGGAGAGGACCCGCGGCACGGTGGACGATCACAGCGACGACCACCGCCACAATCACGATCTTGACGGCGATGGAGGACGGGGAAGGGGAAGGTGTAGTAGGAGAGCTCCAAGCAATACACCACCGCAAGCCCTGGCCAGGCCCATCCTGGGCCCTAGACTGGTGTGCAGGCCCTGCTGGCCCAGGCCTAGAGGTCTGTACACCAGTCCAGGGCCCAGGATGGGCCTGGCCGGGGCAGGTGGTGATACTGTTGACGTCCCTCCGAAGGTGTTTTTCCCACCCAATAGCAGGCGGCGCGTTCCGGGGGGAAGTGGGAAGGGGCGGGCCTTCTCAGAAGGCTCGGAAGTTTCCCAGCCTTCTAAGAAGTTTCCTAAGCCTTCCCTGACGACACAAGAAGCTTCTCAGAAGACCATGGGGCCGATAAGAAGCCCCGCCGACTTCTGCGAGGGCCTTCTCCCTCTCATGTCATTTCCGCTCGCCGCCGAGATAGGTCGGGGTTGTTAGACTCAGAAGAGAGAGCTCCTGACTCGCCTCGCGCACCCTACATAGCGCGGCCGTCAGGCCATAAAGGTCTCGGTGCTCCCTGGGTAAGCCGCCTCGCGTCTTCGAGAGACGACGGCTGCATCTCAATGGTCCCCCGAAACAGCAAAGCCGCGTTTCGCCGGTTTCAAACTGTCTCTGGAAAACGTCTGCCGGAATCGGGAAATAAATCTATGGGATTAGAACTGTAAACAAAACAAACGACGACGGAACTGGGAACAAAAACGGCGCATGAACTTGCCAAACAACTACAACAAAGATCTGGTAACAAGAACGCCCTGGTCATTTCCAGGGCCCGGTAGTCAGTAGCGGCTGCATACCTCGGGTCGCACGACAAGATTGGGATATCAAAGGGGGGGATATCAAAGGGGGGGGGCAGCCCCTGAAACCCACAGGGCACGAGGAGGAGCAGGCGGAGGAGGAGGAATGGCCCCTGCATGCAGCGAAATTCCGTACCCCCCCCCTTTCCCTATCCCCCTTTGTCGTTCGGCCCGAATGCCGCGGCCGCCGATCCCATACATCACGACCCGCTGGGGAAGGGGAGGCGGCGGAGAGGAGCGAGGAACCTCGTGGCGCGGGCTCGGCGGGGCGAGCGAAAGGCTGGGGCCGAGCTGGCGCTAGGAGGAGGAGGAGGAGGAGGAGGAGGAGGAGGCTGTCGTTCGGCCCGCATGCCGCGGCCGCCGAGAGTCCCAAAAGGGGCCCGGTGCTCCCCGGGTGTGAAGCCTCGCGCTCTGGAGCGGGGGCCGCCCGAAGCCGCCCCGCTCGTCTTGGGGGCTTCTGGCCTCCGAAGGTGGCCCCGTGGGACAGCCTCCATCCTGCTCCCCTTTCCTCCCTCCTCCTCCTCCTTCCTCCTCCTCTCTTCTCCTCCCTCTTCCTCTTCCTCCTCCCCCCTCCCTTTGTCTCCCTCCTCCTTCCTTCTCATCCTCTTCCGCCGTTTTTCGCTGTCCACCGCCCTCCTCTTCCCAGGGAGACCACCTGAGGCTTCCGCAAGGAGTCGAAGAACCGAGGATGTGTGTGTATATATATATATATATAACAAGAGACATGTGACATGTCGGCCCCTATCCCTGGATTTGGGCGGTTCTCGGGAGTTGCTAGAGATGTCCCCAGAGAAGGTCCTGCCCAGGGGCGCTAGATATGGCCCCAGGCCTTCCACCAACAACAACAAATCTGCGGTTGAATTGGTTATTGGATTATCGGGGTGTCACCCCTCAGGTATACAATGCTAGCACGCATGCGCCAATCGTTTGTGGAGGGGTGTTCCAGGGTGTGTGAAACCGGGCTCTAGGTACATTTGCATTGCTGCAAGGACCCCCATTATCCCTATCGACCACCCTTATGCTCTGACCGTGAAGCATCGAGAATGGCACAAGTGCGTTTGGCTGTGGGCAGTTGGGCAACGTCGCAAGCGTGTAGAAAGACGCATGAAGATGCTCCGCGGTGCGCCCTAACGCGCGCAAGCCTTCTCTCTGTTTCAACCGCACGCGTGACACCACATAGTAAAATCTGGTCTCGCGAACCGTATCGCGTACATTTGAATTCGGCAATGTTGTCAGCAGCTGGGGTCAGAACAGGTAAGACATCACCAATAGCTTTATGGTGTCGTCTTCGGAATGGCGATCTTGCCTTCGCTTGGCGCCGTTCGGCGTACGGTGTCGGACGCTAGCGGGACACTACCGTATCTATGAATATCATATATCGTGGGACATGTAGAGCGAGTCCAATACGACGTTCGAGCGAAACTGAAACGGCATCAAAACGAAACGGGGAGCAGCGTGCAGTGTTGAGCGCTGAATTCCTCAATCGAACTACGGACACTGTGCAATGCGGCACTACCTGTCGCGCCGACGTTTGTTTGGCCGGGGGGGGGGGGGGGGGCAAAACTGCGGCGGTGATGGCGCTTTGTTGGCCAAGGATGTGTGCTTCTCCTGTCCAGGAGACTGCGTTCGGAAGTGTCATTAATGGCCCACTGCAGGCGTTCTCATTGTCGGGCGACGGTGCCAGGCGGCTCGCGCCAGCCCAGAGGGAGGGAAAGTTTTGTCCGCCCAGGCGTGCTTCATGACGGGGCGCTTCGAGTCCCCAGGCCGGCGCACTCCCTTCCCACAACGCGTTGGACTGGAAGGCGAGCTGCAAGGCAGGACTGCGCCGCGAATCAGAAGCGGTTTTTGACTCCTCGAAAAAATGAGTCCGTGGGTCTTGATTAGATATTCGACCGCGCTCGCGTCACAGAGCCCCCGCCCCCCGCAAGAAGCGAATGTCACCCCCTCGATCCTCCAGCATCCCTCCTCCGACCCCGCACGCGACGGAATGCGTCGTAAGAGGGAGAAGGATCATGGCGAGGGAGGAGGACACAGAGGAGAAGGCGGAGGAGAACGGGAAGGGGTCAGGAAGGATGAGGGAGGAACACGAAAAGAAGGAATGAGAAAGGAGGAGGGAGATGAAGCTCCACTTCTCGACTTTGGAAGCTAATCTGCTTTCCTGCGAAGCTGGATGGGTAGGCACGCCGCGCAATGACCATGTCGGCGGCTCGAGCGGGCCAGTCGCCCGTCCCACGAAATTACCTAATTATCCTCATCCTTCTGCCACCTCTCAATTCTCCGCTGCCCGTGGATTTGGCGAGGCGATTCCGACTTGACGCGGTTTGTGACAAATCTTAGTTTGACGAGATTTGATCAAGGTTTACCGATTTGTCGCGATTTGACGAGCAGCGATTTCCTCGATACATCTGCGATGTTTTGAGGGAGGCTTTGAAGATTGCGCCATGGGGGGCCCAATAATTTTACGACGGACCCCGCCTTGGAAATCTTGAAACGAAAACTCATGGGGATCTGGGTCTACGATTGGTCTCCCACTCTTGTGGAGATCCGGGTCGGAGAGCCCAATGCCCGAGGGGGGGACAAAAAGCGCCGGAAACAATGGAGAGAGCCCGAACTCAGGAAAGACGGAACTAGAAGGAATCTGAATGAAAGAAGAGCCGGAATGGGAGGAATCGGGAATGGGGGAGGCGCAGCAATGGAGAACCAGAGTGGGAAGAATATATTAGAATAGGAAGGAACGGGAATGGGACAGAAAAGAAGTCGAACTGGGCGCCGAAGGGGAGGGGGGGCTGGAATAGGACGATACCGACATAGGAGGTTGGAACCAGGATGATCTAGGTGCGAAGAGCCAGCACGGCAAGAAACCAGAGGAAGTGAAAGGGACTGGAATGGGAAAGAATGAAAAATAGTGGAAAGAGCCGAAACGGGAGGAAACGGGGGTCCCAAGAAACCCGAATGTGAGAAAAACATAACGAGAAGAAGAGCTGGCATGGGAGGGGCCCGAACGGGAGGAGCCCGAGTGCGTTGAATCCAAGCCAGGAGAGAGCTGGAATATGATTGAGCGGGAGTGGAAAGAGGTAGCTGGAATTGAGAGCTGAAAGGCAAGGGAAGAACCCGAAAAAAGAGGGCGCCGTGGAGGAGAAATGCTCCCGAATTGGAGGGATCTGGAATGGGAAAGAATAAGAAGGATAGCGGGAAACCGGAAACTGACGACGTCGGAATGGGGGGACACGTGGGGGTCAGACTCGGCAGGAATCAGAAAGGGATATGGGGCCCGAATGGGAAGGAAAACCGTACTGGGCGGGAGCCATAAAGGGAGGGAGCTGGGGGCAGCCAGAATCAGAGAGAGCCCCGGCGAGAGGAGCTGGAACGGTGGGAGGAACGGACGGGCTGGAACGGGAATGATCCTCTGCCTCCTCCTCCTCCCCCTCATCCTTCAATCCCACCAGCCCTTTGGGCGTGAGTGGTTTAGGGAGCTCTCTCTGTTCTCAACCCCCCTTCTTCCCCTTCGGGGAGGGGTTTACCCCTCCCCCTACCCCCTCCCCCTGGACCTGGAGAGGTCCTTTCGCGGGTCGTCAGAGGAGTCTTTTTCGACTCCTGGGAGGGCTAAAAAACGACACCCCTCACGAGGATTCTGGCCCCGACGGGGGGAGGGAGAAAAGTGCTCCCCTCTTCTTTGAAGCCAAAATCATTGATTTT